TTCTTGGCAGTCACAGTCCGGCATATATATATATATATATATATATATAAGGTAAATTACACTTACACCCCTGAGGAATGCTAAAATAACTTTAAGGTCACGTGGTATCGGTAATTACAATCACCCCTGAAATATTGTTAGAAACCCTAACGGAATAATGCATTGGATAAGTTGTTCTGTTAGGTTTTTAACGGATTATTAGTTTCAGATAGTGGTGGAGGCAACGTCGAGCTATGGGGGTGACATGGCTCCCCCAGTATTTCTTAATTCCTCATTATTTAAAATGAAGTTTATAAGTTTTCGTCTATGGTAGCATTAATGGACCCGCAAAAAACAAATATAGTGCATATCAGTCCCCAGAACATGAAATCTTGGCTCCGATTATTATTTTAGAGGCGTGACTGTAATTACCAATACTACAGGAAGCTTAAAGTTATTTTAGCAAAGATCAGGAATATAGTTCTAATATATCTTCTGCATCTAAGAATAATGCATTGAATTGGGACATCTAATCCTAACATATATGACCATGCTTTTTCATGATTCTGCCCAAGCATTCTTGGATTTCGAAATGGTAAAAAAAAGAAAAAAAGAATCTTTCCAATGATTCCATTTTCTTTGGTTCTATTTTTCTATTGAACGCTTCAATGGAAGAGATTGTTGAGGTTGATCCACATTGTAAAATCAATGTTATTTTATTTTTTTTTAAGTTATTTTGTTTTTACTAAAATAAAAATACGAGAAACCTAAATCGGAGCTTCGGTGATTAAGGAGTGTAACCTAAAGTTATCGTGGCATCTGAATTTAAGAAAAAATCAAGAAACAAAATAATGAATATGATGAAGACAAAGGAACAACCGATTGGTGTGGATAGCATTCTAAACACGGATAATTGCCTACTTCTTCCTCCATTTCTGAGTAATTTTTGTTTTTCATCTATGCACACTTGCACGTGTATTAAGAATCTTAATAAACACGTTGATTTTATGGGGGGAAAAACGTATTAAAAAGACTAAAATAACCTTGAACATTTAATAATGTGATAAGAGATAATTAATACTTGAAGTTGAATAAATATGGGTAAAACAAGGAAACAAAAATACATTTAATGCAGTATTGGAAATCTAAAGTAATAGATAATATGAAACAAACATATTTCTTTAAACTGACAGTTTATTGTTAAGCGGAGGAGTATGGTTTCGTATGATTAGGCCTATGTAGCACGGACATGGAGACAGTTATTGTTAAGCGGAGGAGTATGGCTTCGTATGATTAGACCTATGTAGCACGCACATGGAAACAACGATATGGAGTACGGCAAAACGAAGACGGTAAAATGACATGTCCCAAAAAATGGGGATATGGGAGCTTAGAAAAACATGTAAACATTAAAAGTATAGAAGTATATTTATAATAAGCTATATAAACATATATAAGTTTTTATTTATATATAAATTCTTCTTATATATTTTCGTACAAACATATTCAAAATAAAATTTTCTATCAACTATCAGTTTGCAATTGATCATTAAACATGTAAACAATTAAGGAAGCAAAAAAAAAATTGATAATTTACTGTTCAAAAATGTTTTGAATTTTTAGAAATTGCAAAATAGCACATAAGGTGTCCAATAAGTATTTCGAATATCGCACACAAAACCTATCCAAAACACAGATATGTTTAGACTATTGCATCATTAGACCTCTCAATAGTTATCATTTACATAATAAAAATAAATCTCTATAAACTTCATAAGAATACTTTACTCAAAACTCGTACATCTAAGAATCCACAAAAACTATAAAATTAAATTAAAAAATAAAAGAAAAAAAAAAAAACAATTCAACTAATCCAGTGAAAGTGTTCTATATCATACATACAAATATAAATTGAATAAATACCAAAACTATTCCCCAGATTTATTTGTATATATACTCTAGACCCCCAAGTAAACTTCTTACACCACAACGGTCACAACTTTCTAGACGATTAATTTGATAATTCCAACGCGCAAACCGACCACACTCCCTCGTCCCATTTTTTTCCGACGCTCTATTTACACCGGTTAAGTTAGGTTTTCGGGTCGATGATGTCAGCTCTCGTCGAGCATGATGTCAGCAGGATCTCCGACCCACGGCCTCCCTTCTCTCCACCTAAACTTAATCCTCAACTTACCGTTCGCATCAACTCCGACGACCTCACCTCTGCTAGTGTGCGTCTCCATACCCCACCCCCACCTGGGCCCCACCAAACCCTCCTTAATCCTAACCTTATCCCCGTTACCAAACGGCCTCACTCTCTCAATCTCCCACACTTTACAAAGCCACAATCGATCCATAAAGCAGAAAGCCACCCACACATCTTCCTCTTCTATCCGATGCACAACTCCTATACTCGAACTAGAAACTTCCCCCCATTGATGTATAGGGTTCGTCACACTCCCCTTCACTCTAACCCAATCTTTTATCCGAATTTCTCTCTCCTCCACGATTTCGACCTCCGAGGGATCGAGCATCCAAGATTTCGAACCGGACGGTGTGTAGATTCTAAGCTTGCCATCCGCATCAACGGCCGAGATTGTGCCAATGCTCGTATGTGTGTGCCCCGACCATCCAAACCTCGGCTGTTTGACCGAGTTCTTGACTTTGACTTTTTCTCCAACCGTGAGTTTGTCGACTCTCTCGAGATCGGCTATACTCCCTACCCATGGATCTTGCTCGCCGCAGAATCCAACAACCGCCACGTCGTGCTCGTTTTCCTCGTAAGCATTTCCTTGCACAATGCCCACCCTACCGTTCGATCTCAATCTGACCCACTCTCCCACATCGTACATTTGCTCGATTTCTAGATTTGCGGGGTCCGCTTTCCACAACCCTTGTATGCCGGGGAATGATAGTCTCACCTCACCATTGGCTGTGACGCTGATAATTATGCCGCGGGAATTGCTCTGTGCTCCTCTCCAGCCCCACCTTGGCTCGGCTAGTCCAGTTCGGAATTTGACGTGTTGACCGACTTTAAATGCGGGGACTTTTTCGACGTCAGTGTGGTGAGTGCTCCACCGTCCCTTGCGGAAGCAGCAAGCGAGTTCTAGATAACCGGTGTCTTGTACGCTGTGCACGATTGCTAGGCCTTCTTTACCGATGTTGCTCCAATCGTAACTTGGTCTTGCGCCCAGGCTTGGTTTCGAACGCACCCAGTCGCCTACTTCAAAATCGGGAAGCCTTTCTGCATCGCCTGGTGAAACTTTCCACAAACTACGTCTTCCAGCAACTTTGACCTAAAAATATAGAAAATTCGGAAGTCAACGTTGAGAACGATCTTGAATAAGAACATTTTAGGGACACAAAGGATAGAAGATAAGATGAAGCTTTTACATTTAAGGCACCGTCCATATCAATCCTCACAATTCTTCCAACAGAAGCTGGTGTCTCGTTTGACCATCCGAGCCGAGGCTGAGTGACGGATGAAATTACGCGAATGTCCTTTCCCACTTCGAAAGGCGGGAGCTTCTCAACATCTGTGACCGAACAGCGGAAAAGTTTACTACGGAAGCAAAACGCGATTCCCATATCACCGTCCTCCTCCAAACTGTGAATGATACCTATACTGTTTCTCGTAACATCTTCCCACCCATATATTGGAGAGGGAACAGAAGCTTTTACTCTAACCCAATCTCCTACCTGTGCAATTTGTGGAATAAATTAGAATAGTGAAGAGGCATAACTCGTAACTTACACGGGTAATAGTATTTATTACCTTGAAATCATCCACCTTTTCCATGTCGGAAGGATCAGCCTGCCATGGAATAGGCCGATTCGGTATTTCGATTATCAAAAGGCCGTCATTCTCTATCTCGCTAACTCTTCCAACACTATGGTGAGTTTCGCCACCCCAAGCATATCTAGGTTCCGCAACAGAACGCTTTACACAAACACGATCACCAATCTTGAAAAGAAAAAAAATTAAAAAATTAAAAAATTGAAGAAACCTCGTTACAGAATTAAGTGCATTGATTTCAACTGAATGCGCTTACCCTAAAGGGTTCGACATGCTCAACCTCTTCAGGTTCACAATGCCATGGAGCAGGAAGATAGCTAAGTTCCAATAATAGACTATTATCTGGTCTAATACAGTAAACTGTACCGATACTACCAGGAGTTACAGATCCGAGGCCATGTTTAGCTGTGGTGAGGGTGGGACGTATACGAACCCAGTCCCCGACTTTGAATTCTTCAACTCTTTCCATTTCGGCGGGATCTGCTTTCCATCCTCTAGATGCACCAGGAAACCCAACACGCAAGATTCCATCGTCATCAACACATAGAACAGTTCCAATGCTGTCACGGGACTGGCCACGCCACCCAAATCTGCAATAGTAGAAAATGATTAGTGCATGGCATGTGGATGTTGAGGAAGTTATAAGCAGTTTGGTTCGTATTATAACAGACATCCTTTACTAGTTACTAATACTATTAAAGATAACGGTATGCAGTTTTATATATCTTCCAAAAGGTTCCCTTGCAAAGGGCTAGCAGCATAACTGAAAGATGTAAGCAGATAAAAAACAGTCGAATGGAAATTTCAAGCACAATGATAAATGTGTGCAATCAGAGATGTTAGAATGTCAATCGTTCTTGAATAAATATTCCAATTCATCAAGACTTGCACATATTAAGATTAGAAAATCCTCAAGTGGGCTATGTGCATCGTCAAACCAAGACATGTAATTATTTTCCTACAAATGTAAGCTCACGTTTAAAATAGATTGAATTTTTGTAGATTTCGCTAAAGCGCAAATTAATCGCCAGATATGCAGGATCTTGTCAATATAAACGCAAGAATTAATTAATAGTAAAATCTTATGATTCAAAAAACGATGTACTATTTTGTGTTTTCAGAGAAATCATACCTTGGCTCTACGACATCAGCCTTAAGTTGAACATGATGTCCTCTGTCAAGAGGAATCACTTTTATGACTTCGTTTGCTAGTACTTGAGCTTCTCCAGAGCAAAATGATACAATGAGATTGTCATTATCTGGTACACTTTGCACAAAGCCAACACTCTTATGCGTTGCACCTTGCCACCCATAAGTTGGTTCCTTAATGCTTCTTATGTATTTCACCCAGTCACCAACTTGATATCTGAAAAGTATTCGACAACATGAAAGTCCAAAATACACAATCAGCCACAGCAAAGTTGTTGAACAAAGATATTACGAGAAAAAACTTCGACAGCAGAAAAGGACATAGTAGTAGTGGTGTTACGCACACTGTAGGAGACAAATTGACCTCCTTCTCTGCCAGTGCCTCCATCAAATCTTCAGAAATCCATTCCCGTGGAAGAGCCTCCAAGAAGTCTCGTAATGTCTTACCACTGCAAAGCATCATGACACTTATCTATCACATTTAGCAGCACTGATTACATTTATTTGTTACACATGGAAACAGAAGTCCATCTAATTCAAATAGGCGTTAATAATATCAGATATATATATATATATATATATATATATATATATATATATATATATATATATATATATATATATATATATATATAAAACAAAAAAACGCAGTTATCAAGAACTAGCCTGTGGTTCCTAACATCAACTGCAGCATCAGGATATTTAAGCATAACAAGGATCCACTCCAAATTTTCACGTATCATCTTTGATGTATCAGCTGCTATATGAAAAGCATTGTCACCGTCATCATCCTGAAGAAAATTAAGACAAAAAGATCTTAAAAGTCAGAAGTATGTCCGACCATCTTTGGGTAAAAAGTCCCAGAAACATCAATTTAGTATCAGAATATATCCATCAAAAAGGGGTTCATAGGGGTAAAGTAGAGTAGAATAAATCTAAATCTCGAGTCAATTATCACCAACAAAATACTATCTAATGCTTCTTACAAAACCATGAATGGGTATTTCCTAAACATGTCCACAAGATCTAACTACTCAGATCCGCCTTTTATTAGCCAAAAATCAAGTATCTCCCTTGTATCCCAGCTTTTGTTAATATGGTTTGACATATTGAAATCATAGAATCCTCGCAAGAAGTTATCAAGGATCTGCATTGGTGAGATATTCTGATGAAGATCGGAAGTTAAAAAAGAGACCTGCATGTTGCAATTTGCCCCAGCTGATAGAAGCAATTCAACGCAAGATTTTGCACCTCTGGCCAATGCCACATGCAGAGGTATGGTATTCTGCACATTCCTGATGTTTACATCAACACCTGCTTCCAATATGATCTACAAAAGAAAAAAATTCAACAAAATATTCAAATATCTTACATTGAACTTAAATGGTATTCGAAAGTAATTTTAACTCCAGAAAGAACAGTCAGGTACACATGAAGTACTCATTCAGCCTACCTTGACTAACTCGACATCATTAGCCATAGAAGCAGTATGCAAAGCAGTTTGCGCGTGTTGGGTGTCTTGAGCTGTTGGATCTGCTCCAGCAGCTAGCAGTATCCTCACAAGTTCTCTACCCTCTAAATCATTACACCATTAGAAAGATCAACATAAGCACAAAACATTCTAGACGAAAAAAGGCATATTTCTTTTCAAAAGGCTATTAGCATCATAATTTGAACAACTTCTGAGCAGTATGACCCAATATTCTACCAGATTCATGATCTTTCTTCGAGGCAGCAGCCATGCACAAAGCTGTTCCCCCGGGGCTCTGAATATTAATAGCTTCAGAAATATCTTCCGTAGATGCAAGCTCTATCCATCTACTGACAACAGCTACATTCCATGTCATTATACACAAATGAAGTGGCCTGCCAAATAAAAAGGCTTAGAGCATGTGACAAAGAAAAACTCTCTAGTTACTTTACTACATGATGCATTTACACTTACGTCAAATATTTCGAGTTCAGGATATTCATAGATTTACACCCTCCATTTTCCAATATGACAATAGCACAGTCGGTGTATTTCTTCGCAACAGCTCTGTGAAGCACAGATTCACCTTCATCATCCACTGCATTTGGATCAGCACCTGCCAATAATAACTCCTATAGACATTCAAGAATAAGAAATAAAGAATAAGTACATGAAAAATCAAAACTGAATAGCTTGAATAAATAATACAATATATTTTGTATCCATGCGGTTTCATGGAAATAGAATTATGAAATCGAACCAGGTGCATCCTGCTTCACGTTTCCATATGTTTTCAATATTCAGTAAACCTATGAAAATTTAAACAAGGGCCAGATACATACTCGCATGCAGTCTGGTTGGCCATGGTAGGCACAGACATGAGCAACTGATGGACCAAGACCTTCCCTTAACCTGGACCTGACATTAGCATTTCGTTTAATGAGTGCCCGAACACATTCAGGTGATCCAGCTGCTAGAGCAAAAACAAGAGGAGGATCGCCGTCTTTGTCAAGGACATCAACATTTGCCTCTTTGCACTCCAAAATAACTTCAACAAGTTCAGCACTGCCCCGTCTACAAGCCAAGTGAAGAGCAGTTTGGCCTTCAGCATTTTGTGATTCTAGTAGAGAGTGTAACAAACTTTGACCATATCTTGAAGAAATCTTTGCAAGCAACTCTCTGTAGAACAAGGTAGTGAAATGTAAATCTTAAAGAGAAGAGAATCTAGAAGTATTAGAAATGACTAAAGCAACGAGGCCCTACCGAACTCCATTGACATTGCCTTCAGAGACGAGTCGGTGTAGAAAGTTGGGATCTGCACGCGGTAGCTCCAGCTCAGCTGATGGGGAGGGTGCTATCCCATTTATTACAGGGCTCAAAGGCAAGTCACTGATTACAAGATGGTGCAAAGATGGACAACCAACTCATTAAAAAAGTAATGAAGTACAAAATATAGGAATATCCTATAAAATAAACACCAAAAATGACACTAAGGAATGTGACATGACAAGATCTACAAAGAAAAGTTCTTTATGCTTAAATCAAATAATCAAATGACATGATGTCACTGCAAAAAACAACAATATACGAACTTTTATATCATAAGCGAACACATAATTCAGCTTCTTACTTGTCTGGGCTTGTGGGAGGGCTCCTAGGAATCTCCTGCAAGTGTCGAAGAAATATTGCTAACATCGAATGAAAAGTTGGCCTTTTTGATGCCTTGAACTGAAGGCAGTCACCAATCATCTTCCACAATTCCCTAGGTATTCCAACACCGACTACGCTTGCATACTGAGGAGGTTGCCGTTTAGCTTTGACAACAGCTTGATAAATTTCCTCCGCACTTAGGCCAGCCCACCTGCATAAAAAGAAACCTACTTGTTTTTTCATTGATTCTACTTCAAGAAAATAAGAGATAATAATGGGGAAGTTATCCAGGACAAAATATAGAAATAATTTCACATACGGGATAGATCCTGTGCACATTTCTACCAATGTACAACCAAAGCTCCATGCATCAGACTCTGGGGATATGCCAATAGCATCATCCCAGAAAAGATGTAGCGACTTTTTTACTGGTTCCCATGCTTCTGGAGCAGTATAATTTGGGCTCAGCATTGTGCAATCCATACACGAATGGATCTTTGAAGATTCCACCTCATTTCCAGATTTTCTGCAGTCAGGCTTCTTTAAAATTGATGGAAACCCATAATCAGAAACCACAGCATGACCACTTTCATCCAATAAAAGGTTGGATGGCTTGATGTTCATACAAACAACACCAGCTGCATGAAGTTCAGCAACTCCACGGGCAACATCTGCTCCATATCTGCATTTAAGGTTTGAACGATAAATCAAAATGATAGTTCAGATTCAGTTAAAGCTACAGTAATTTGCAGTTCATGGATAAAAAAATAAAAATTGTGCATATTATTGGATCACAAAATATTATTTTACTCATGTGTTGTAGCAACTTGATGTTCATGTACATTTTTGACACATGGATATTGTAGTAGAAATGTAGAACTTTTTTTATGCTGAGGACACCATGGTATATTCACCTATTAAAGAAGTTGTACTTCCCCTCAATTCTTCAATGTAGGCGATTTAAACAGTTGGGGCTGTGATTGAATATCAAATTAGGAATTCATATTGCAGAAAACCCCAAGAAACTAGACTCTGCTAGGTAATTTCACATTTGAGATTAATAGGTCTTATCTATCTAAGGCACAGGAAAATTCTAGACAGCATAAAAAAAATTATTATATTTGGGTAAGTGCTTGAGAAACAAATTATATTTGAGCTGGGTAGGTGCGATTTTCTCCCTAGGACGCCTCACCTATGTCATGTAAGCAAAAACAGAAAATTTAATATTCAAATAGGATACAGAAATAAAATCTGTAATGCATTCTCAAATAATTTTCCTAAAACAGCTCTTTTTTTCCAAATGACTAAGGCTTAGCCAAAGTAGTATCCGAGCCACTCCCACACTAGGCTTTGGTGGGGTTTGGTGAGAGGTTGGGGGTCAAATTCCTTTGGGTGCATGTGTTATAAGGCCACATCATAAAGCCAACTTTTTTTAACACATACACGCGCACATTTTTCCCAAAATGAAATGAATATCAATCCCCAAAATGAAACAAAACATATACTCCAATCTCTGCTCTTCTACAAGAATCTAGTAAATCTACCCCCAAGTATTTTATATCCAACTTGGGAACATCAATTAATTTACAGAATTAGAAGTTACAAGACCTGTGAAAATTCTATTTCACGAGTAGAACTGCTAAATGGGGCACAGAATATACATTAAACAAGCATCTCTTGACAGATCTATTTCCAAAATCAGCCTAAAAATATGAAGGGGCGAACTCTCTCTCGCTCAATCCGAACAAATCATCCTTAAACCGCAATGCATGTCGAACAAAATAAGGTTGCCATTTATCCCTCTCTACCTCTCTCACACAAACACACACACAGAATTAATATTTCACAAGTACAATAAACAATAAATTAAATTAAGAACACTACAAACAGAAAGAGAGTGGTAGAGATTTATTAAGGTGCCAGAAGAACCAACACCAGGTTTTCAGTTTCTTTTTGGTTTTTAACTTTCCCTGTATTCCACAACTAGATGTTCCCTCGACCTCTTCAGCATTTACATTCTTATTAAATATTTGTTTTAGACAGACGCTACATTGTTTCCTATTTGTAGCTTCCGACCAGAATATTTTTACGCATAACTTCTCTCTCCATTTGTCGGTGTATTATATACATATATATAATTTGTCTCATTGAAAATCATTTTTTAACTGCAAATAGGAGTACTAATAATGATGAGCAGTATAAATATTTTTCAAAGAGGTGGGTCAATTGCCAAAAAAAAAAAATATATATATATATATATATATATATTACAATATCAATTTGTCTACAAGAGGTTATATATATTTGTGAAGGGTATGATAATGAGGATATGAAAGATATTGTGGGAGGTTAGAGATGGATTCTTTGACAAAGTAATAATCCCTAACAACCTAGCTAATTGCTAAAGATCTTTTTAACTACGAAATTGTTTTTACAGGCAACACGACAGAAAAAGTTATAGCTTTTTTACCTGGTTAGATAAGGACACGTGTTACATAATTATACTAAGCTAAACCAACCGTCACTAAGAGAATTGGTACTAGCCTTCGCTATTAGACGCTAAGTTTAGGGTTCAAACCTTGCCCCTTTCCTATTTTCCCCTTGGAACAAGATTTGAATTGTAAAGGAGAAAAATAATTGTCGCAGACTAAGGAATCGAGGTACCAAAGTCTCTCATTTAACACGAGTATTTCTTATCTCCGTAATTGAACAAATGGCAATGAGATGACTATAAGCCTCCAAAATATCTTTTGTAACTCCACGTGTTCTAGCATCCAGCAAAACGATGTGGGCCCACATTCCCCAATAGGCTCATCACACATTACAGCACGCAAGCAAATTGTCATACAATTATTTAACACGAGTCAGCCACTACATGAAGACCTTATAATTCTGGAGAGGCCCATTTTGCAATGAAGGTCTCATTGATCAGAGGAACCGGACAAACAGTGAATTATGTCGCACTGAAGTAAAGGCCAAAACTTGGACGCCATAAAGATGAACAAAGAACTATACTTTCCAGTTTCCATGTCTATATACAATGAATCGACACCAAATCTAAACATTTAATAATCATGTGATATCCATGATTTCTTAAGTATAACCCAATCACTAATTCCTATATCTGTCTCCAGTTATCATGAGAATCCACTATACATAGAAAAATAAATCACCATTTCAGCATCTTAAGAACATAAACAACGAAGCAAGAAAATCTTACTTTAGCATAATTTTCAAAACGTAGAGGAAAGAAAAAATGAAACCTGAGGATCTGCTCAAGGGTGAGGCGCCCTTCATTCCGCTGCATTGCGGTCTGCACAGACCCGTGACACCTGTCCATCACCAAACAAAGACTGCTATCCATCCTTGTTATTCCATGGAAAGTGCAAACATTCCGGCACCACATCGATTTCCTCCTCAAATCCTCCATTTGTCCTTGCATCCACACCACATCAGTCTCCTCCCCAAAAGCGACTTTCTTCACCGCCACCTTATGCTTACACCCTCTACCGGAAACCACCGCCGCCCACATCTCCACACCCGCCCGCCGACTGGTTCCTTCTCCAATCTTCCTCACCATCTTGACCTCTCTGTGCACCGCCATATCTATCATCCCACCTTTAACAGCATCCTCCACTCTCCTACTACCGTTGCTATAAACACAACCACCACTAGTGCTACTATTAACATGACTATTATTTCCACAACTATTACTACTACCAGCGGCGAAATTCCTGCCACCGCCACCGCCGCCGCCGCCGCCGGCTTCACTACCGTCAGCATCGTCCTCCTCGTCGTCCTCGTCGTCATCCTCGTCGCCGCCCTGGATCAACGACAGGACGGCGTAGTTCTTCTTCAGGGCGGAGATGGAGTTCCCGACGGTGGAGACGTGGCGGCAGCGTGGGCAGGAGAGCGACGAGTCCGGCGAGGCGGCGAACATCTTGGAGAGGCAGTCGCGGCAGAAGCCGTGGCCGCATTGCAGGAGGAGCGGGCACCGCTCCTCCTCGCTGTACTTGTTCTGGCAGACCGAGCACAACGGAACCCTCATCCTTTCGTCTTCCTCTTCCTTCCGTCAAAATCTGCGCCGATTGAATTTTTGTTTTTCGTTTTCAAAATGAAAAGCAAAGCTTGCGGTGAATGTGAAATTGTGGCGGAATCAGGAAATGGTGGAGAGAGAAAGTGGTAGATCCATGGAGGAGGAGGGTTTTAGAGAGAGAAAGTAAGAGGCGGTTGGAGAAGTAGGGTGAGCTCGGAGGTGAAATTGGAATAAAGAAAAAAAGCTTGATTGAGGGGTTTTGCCGTCGTTGATTCCAGACTCACTGTGTACCTTTCTCTCTCCTCTCTCTTAACTCTTTCTCTCTCTACTCTCTCTCTCTTCTTTTTTTTTTCTTTTTTATTTTTTGTTTTTCTTTTTGCCCTTTAGGCATGAGATTCTACAGTGGTTTCAACTTTTAATTTTTATATTTTTTAATTTTCTTTTTTTTTTTTTTTTTGATTTTCTTTAGATGAATCTAAGGTTGTTTTTTTTTATAAATGTTATAAATACTTGAATATAATATAAAATTTGGTAATAGAATTGATTAAATGCATTTAATAAATAAAGTAACAATACTAAGGCATATACTATATAGATTGTGATTAAAAAATATTAACTTTATGTTATTTACAAATTATTAAGAACTATAATGACTTATAAAATTATTAAGAAGTATGCATACTATGACTTATAAAATGTTAAAAAAAGCTTATAAGATATTTAAGAGCTTATAAGCTTTTTCAAAGTGTTTGACAATTTTTTTTTAAATATCTTAATTTTTTTTTTTTTGTAAATAAATTATTGGAGAATAAAAATATCAAATAAGCTCATTATCCAAATCACTTTAAAAATTAATTCTAAAAATAAGATGTAAAAGTTAACAGCTCTTAAAACATCTTATCAGACATAAGAGCGTACCACCTATTTAAAAAAACCTTAGCCAAACGGACCTTTAATTATATCAGATCTTGAGATGTAACATGATTTCAAATATATATATATATATATATAGTATAATGATTAATAATATATAATACATATATTATTGTACATACAAATTGAAATTGTGTATTAGATAATTGGAGCTTAGAAACTATGGTTATGAAACATGATACATACAATAGTAATTTTTATTATATCATGTGTATCATCAATGCATATCTAAATTGTGCTCCTGTTCTATGTAGCTTCGTGAAAAACAATATATTAGTTTGATATTATTTCAATAAATGGTGATACAAAATCTTGTTTTGCACTGATTGCCGACGGTCGATGATTAACGGACCACACAGCGTCGGACCAATAATTTTAATCGATCCATGTATGAATGGGTCGTAACTTTCAATTATCCAACTAGTTGATTTTGTTAATAATAAATTTAATTGTAAATATTTAATTGTACTTATTTTGATAAAAATATGATAATGTACTTTATATAAAAAAAAATTCAACATTTAAAAGTTTTAAACTAATATATAAATAAGTCAAAATTAAAAATTGGGAAAGATATAGTTTTCATCCCTTAAAGTTGCAATGATTTCATATTTGGTCCCTCCTCGTGTTTATAAAAAAAAAACACATTTGGTCCCTCATATTTCCAAAATTCAATATGTTTAGTCATTTCCGTCAATTTTACATTACTACTAACGGAATCAATGATGTGTCTACACTGTCTTAACTGACGGAGTAACGGCAAATTGACAGAATTGATCAACGATGTTAAATTATCGAAACATAGGGGATCAAATGTGTATTTTTGTGAATATAGGGGATCAAATGTGAAATTGATGCAAACTTGAGAGATGAGGAGTAAAGACTTAATTTTCCCATTAAATTTTTATATTTACTTATTTGTATGATTGTATAATTATTGCCAAATTTTTAAATGTAATGTTATTAAATGTTTTAGTTTCTATGCAATACTATACATATCTAAACAACAACAAGATATTTTATTTTTTATATAATATTAATTTCGTCAACCAAATAATATTAACTTGATCCCTTTCTATTTCGAACACCAAATTTATTTTTGTTTAAAATAAGAAATAAATAAATATATTATGCTTCGAAATTGAAGTAATAAAACAAAAATAGTATTACACGTCTCTTTCTCAGTTTCTCTATGCAGCAATCAAAGTTTTAAATAGTCAAATCGCAAAGCCCACTTTGTTGACTATCTATTCTATTCCATACACAATTTTAGTTGAAAAAAATGAAATTTGTTTCCATTAGAAAAAAAAATTATTTTTTTCGAAAGTAAAATGTGGATTCCAATTTTCGTTCCAGAAAATTCTGAATGCAAAAATTCATTCTGATTTTGGAAGCTTTGGAATCGGTAGAATTTCGAAACATTACATTGATAATCTCTTGTATCAAATTCGAATATAATATGAATTTTCATAATAATTCTTTTTTTTTTTTTCAAATTTTACAGTAAAATGCAAGAAAATCTAAAAAAAAAATCAACAAAATGCAATAAATAAAACCACATGTACAACAACAAATTGGAACAAATATTTTTTTAATAAGAAAAAATTGCAACAAAGAGTCTTTGATGCCAAAATCACATTTACTTGCCTTTTTAATATTTATATTTTTCATATAAAATATAGAGTAAATAGCGGTCACCCCTGAGTTAAAAAAGTCAAATTACGAAAAAACTCATTTTGTTTACATAACTACAGCCCCTCGACTATATATTACCTTATGAAAAAATCCCTCTAGTTGGTATATTTAAGAGCGTTCAATCGGTCAAAATTCTACTGAAATTTTGGTACGCCAAAATTTCATACAGTTTAGCGTTGGTTCGGTAAATAACTGAATTACCAAAATTTTATTAAAAATATAAATTACTTTGAATTTTTTTAATTAATTTAAGTTTAAATACTATATATATATATATATATATATATATATATAT